GTGTTATTATATTTCTGTGTATATATATATATATATATATATATATATGAGTTTCTAAATTTGTCTAAGACGAGGACAGTTTTAAGAATGCATGTAGCAACAAGTAATAAGTGATATTTTGATAAATAATTAAAGATTCATTGGTGGAGGGAGAAGCAATAAATGGGGGCAGAGAGATGTTATTTTCAGAATCATACAAAGGATTAATTCGTAAGTATATAATATAAGGTCAACCTATAGAGACACCGTATTTAATAGTATCATTATAAATTTAAATGATGTTGTTGAGGCAAATGCCATTGTAATCAACGCTTGGAATTCGACTTGGCAGATACCCATTTCCATCTACGGAATCTCTAGATAGGTTGCACTAAAGCTAAGATGGATCCAACTGTTGCCTGGCATTGGCTAGCATAATATTTGAAAGCTCACCATACCTAAATATTAAGGCATACAAATTGACTTCTAGCCCAGTGGACGACCAAAATAAAATTTACTTCTGACCCACTTATATATTTTTTATTTATCACCAGTGTTATGATCTTTTTTCCTTTTTTAAAAAATTACCGTTAAATCAAGGATATTTTTATCTTTTTCATGCCCCAAGATAGTCATTATAGGTTTGTTTGGATGTATTATCCATTAATGAATACTTACATAACCAAAAAGCAACACCCCCCCGCCCAACAAAAAAAAAAAAAAAAAAACTTACATTCTCGGGAAGAGGTATTTTTGCCGCAACAGAAAAATTATGTGCAAGCTCTTGAAACCAAAAAAAATAATTATTTTCTTTGATTTTTTATTTTTTGGTTTTGATTTTTAACTTTTTTTTAATTTAATATTTTAATTCTAATTTGTAATATATAATATTTTTCAAATTAATTCTTTTACTTTTGATTTTTAAAGTTTTTTCCTTGACTTTTGTTTTAAAATATTAATTTTATCTTTCAAATTAAATTTATGATTTTTGTTTTTTAATAGTAGTATTGATGATGCATTTATTTTAGTTAATTGTTGTTAAATATATTTTTTTCGGTTCATTTCCTATTATTGCCTACATTTAAATTCAACTATTAAATTAATCAATATTATTGCATGTAATAAGTTAATAACTTGAGTGTCATGTTTTTCTTAAATTATTTTAAAAAAAATACTATGGTCGCTTAAGCATGACTTTTATACACTAAAAAGTTTTGGATCCCACGGTATACCGCAAGTCATCCATCAAGAATGGTAGTATAATTTCCATAATTATATTAAATAAGCTAGTGCCTTAACCTATCCCCTATATTACATAGTCTCGGCTTGTCTCCTTGCATGCAGAGCCTTCGCACCATCTCCCACGAAGCTACGAATTAATTAAAGTTTATTATTAACCCTTACTCTCAGTAAATTGAATTCTCACCCGCCCAACTAAATTCAAAACAAATTTCTTTGTTTTTTCTTTTTCTCAAGGCAAGTCTCGTCCGCCGTCAACCCTTCCCTGGACATCCCATTGTAAAAGTTGTTTTAAAATTATTTTTTATTTCAAAATATATTACAAATAATTTTTTTATTCTTAATATTAACACATTAAAATAATTTAAAAACATTAAAAAAATTAATTTAAAAAAATTAGAAAATAAAAAACACATGACTGTACCCCGTTAACAAACAGGCTCGGAAAGTAATTAAACATCACAACTACCAAACGTCTTCTCCTCACCTTTATCCACTCTTAACACCGGCAACTTGTATTACCATGCCCTTCTAACCCCTCGCCTCTCTCTTCATTCCCAAACACTCACCGGCTAAACCCGTAAAAACGTAGCCACATCCAACACAAGAAATTACATTATAATCTAGTATGCTGCGCGGTGACTGTTGCTGTGGTTTCGTCCCTAGCTGTCAACTATGAGTGCTTTAAACAATCTAGAAACAATGCTCACAGTTCTCTTCTCGGTCTGTCTTGCCGCCCTGGTCTTCGAGATCCTCTACGTTCTATGGCGCTGGAGAAGATTCCACCGACGTAGTGTTACAAGCTCCGGTGCTGATGGGGAATTCAGTAGTAGCAGCGAATCACTCTACATGACGCCGTCTAAAGAGCTTCTCTACTTCTTCTGCTGGAAAAGCCAATCGATTCGCATCGAACCGGACTCGAAAACACCACCAGCGGCCTCCGCGGCGGTTACGACAGTTCCCGCAGATGGTGAAGATGCGTTGGTGGAGGAGATGTTGAAGTTGCACGGAATGTACGGACCTTCGAGAGTTTTGTTTACGATCAAGGAAGAGGACAGGGAGGAGATGGAGATAACTGAGAACGACGAATCGTCTATAGAGAACGTTGTTGAAAGTAAGGAGAGAGAGATGAGCAGCAGTGATGTTTGTTTTGAAGAGATAGCCGTTGCTAATGATGTGGTTGTTGATGTCGAGGTCGAGGATGTGACGACGCCGTTCTGGACGCCATGTGCGTCTCCTCAGAATTATTATTCTCCTTCACCTTCTCCTCCTCGTGTCGTTTTAGGTGATTCTGTTGAGAACACGATGTCGTTTGCTAGCATAGAAATTCATGGTTAGAAAGTAGTTCGAGCCACAAAAAAAGTGGAGCCGGCCGGTTATTGGGTTGCCGGAGTAATTATTATAAAATGGTTTCTCCATGTATTTTGTTTTAGAAAAATGGCGGCTCTCTTTTACTTGTATATTTTATTTTGAGGTCAACAAAATGCTTCTGATCTTGCCACGTCAGCACTAGGTAAATTCAACATGTGGATGATCGGTTGTTTGGAAGATATGGGTTTGTTTTTTAAAATATTCTGGGTTATATATATTAAAATAATATTTTTTATTCTTGAAAAACTTATTTTTAATATTATCATATTAAAATAATAAAAAAATAAATTTCAACCGCCCTTTGTTTGGACTGCACTTGATATGACGTGGCAAGATCGAGAGGAGGCTGACGTAACATTGAGGTTGCTGGGAGGAGGCGGAGAGCACGGTGGTCAATTTACTACTCATTCAATTTTTAGCGTGTACTAACAAGGGCTGTAAAGTAAGAGATGAGAAGTAAATTTTCAGGACCGTTCACAGCAATTAATATGATGTGTGTGTGTGTGTGGACTGATATTTTAATGACTGCATTAATTACTTTTCTCGCAATATTTAAGGATTACAATGAATATTTACAAGTGGTTTCGATAATATTTATATTTAAACTTGAACCTAAAATAATTATTCATATCTGACTTATTATTCTATAAATATAAATTTTGCATATTAAAATCTGATTCAATTTGGTTTTAGATATTCATTACACAATCTTATTTTTCAAAATAAAACAAACAGAAAATTAAATTCAAACATGCTTGCTTTCTTAGAAAACAAATAGAAATAAGAAGAGAAAATGTGGGAAACAAGAAATAATCCACTCATCATCTCTTGGTTTAGCATTGATGGGAAGCGTCATGCTGTTGAGAAGGGTCTATCAGATGACAAATGATTTGAGAAAGACTAACACAACATCGAAAGAACAATAAATAAAATATAAACTTGAAGAAAGGATGTAACTAAAGGGTGTAACTCAATTCATTTTATTTTAAATTTATTTTTTAAAAACTATTAATTTGACTCTTATAAATTTTAAGATTATTAATGTTTATATAATTATTAATTTTAAAGCATGTATAAAATTAATTAAAATATATATAAATTAATTAAAATATTCACATTAATATTTTAATTAATAACTCCTCCATCGATGAATTTGCAGCATTGCTTCATCCACTGCATAAACTCCAAGTTACCATCACCTCATCTGCATGCTTTTTTTTTTTTAAAAAAAAAAAGAAAGCAAAGATCCTACCATAAAAAAGGTGACCAAAAATTCAAGCGTTTTTTTTTTTTTTTGAATCCAAGAAACTATTTTAGCCCAAGAAGTCATAATAACCACCATTGGAGTCTCAATAAACCGATTTCTCTAACTCAAGCTTCTTGTTAGGCTTGCTTTACGGGCATTTTACATGATCTCAAATTCTATCAAACAAAGCAATATATCACCAAAATAAGCATCTGCTAGCGTTATCTGTGGTTTGAACATAAACTAAGAATTGCTTTCAATTTAATCCTTGTAAAATGGTTGCGCATGCTTTCTGATAGTTCTTGAAGAACTAACAGGCTAAATTTTGTTTCCTTTTACAGTTGAAGCCATGCCGCTTCCACAGACATAAAAATCCATTGTGAAATGGTGAACTTGCTTATCCATCAACCTTCATTGGGTTATCATGACCATAAAAATTATGTCTTTTCGTCTATAGCTGACTATCATGACCATAAAAATTATGTCTTTTCGTCTATAGCTGACCGTCTTCAAGCTACATATAGAATCATAATGCTCTTTTTTTTTTTTTAATGTTGTTTTAAGCCTGCAATCTGCCGTCCATTTCCCTTTTTTCTCAAGTAGACTGTGCATTGGATCAACCTTACATGCTATCAAAGGGCACGACAACCAGCCAGTAAAGTTAATGATAGAAAATGAGATAAAAGCATAATATTCTAAGATGGATTGTAATTGCATCATCAGAAGGCAGAAAAGTTCCAAATGAAGAGAAGATAAAATAAAAAGTTGAAGTATGAACTCCATGCTTGTAAAATTAATTTTTTTAGAATAATAATTTTTATAAAGATCTAAATAGACATAATCCTTCTTCAACAAGGAAATAAAATAAAAATCTAAAATTATAAAAAAATAAATTTAAAATTTAAAATAATAAAAAAATTCACAAACATGGTTAAAACTAGAGCTTTTTCAATTTAATCCTTGTAAAATGGTTGCGCATGCTTTCTGATAGTTCTTGAAGAACTAACAGGCTAAATTTTGTTTCCTTTTACAGTTGAAGCCATGCCGCTTCCACAGACATAAAAATCCATTGTGAAATGGTGAACTTGCTTATCCATCAACCTTCATTGGGTTATCATGACCATAAAAATTATGTCTTTTCGTCTATAGCTGACTATCATGACCATAAAAATTATGTCTTTTCGTCTATAGCTGACTATCATGACCATAAAAATTATGTCTTTTCGTCTATAGCTGACTATCATGACCATAAAAATTATGTCTTTTCGTCTATAGCTGAC